GCACGGGGGGGGGGGGAGCAGGGGGCCCGGCCCGATACGGTAGCAGCTGGGGAAGGAAGGACCAAGCCTCCACCCCCACTAGGGCCCAGGCCCACTCCTTCCTCCCCCTCCCCCCCTCCATCAGCTCTGAGCCTGCTCCTCCCGTTCCCCAGCCGCCGCTGGGTTGGCTGGTCCCCCTGCCATGGTGGACCGTTTTCTCCCCCAGCTCGGGCTCAGTCCACCTCTGCCCCCACATGGGGCCCAGGCCTGCTCCTCCTGTCCCCACATTGCTGCAGCATGCCCACTGTTCCCCCAGCCGCCGCTGTGTCATCTCATGCCGGGCCCCACAGGTGGTGACAATGGTAGGAGGGAGGGGCAGGCCGAGGCCAGAACCATGACCTGCCCCCCCAGCATCCCAACCCCATTCCTCCCTGCACCACCGCCACCTGGAAAGAGTACAGGTACTCCTCACTTAACGACCTACCTGTTTAATGACCGCGCGGACTAACGACCGCGCGGTCGTGGAAACGGAAGTACTGTACAAGATGTCGGCGAAAAGGAAGAGCATGACTTCACCTGGAGGAAGCACCAAGAAACAAAGGAAGGCTATCGATCTTGAGATGAAAATGAAGATCATAAACGACTATGAAGCTGGTAAGAAAGTTTAAGCGATAGCACATGACTTGGAGCTGGTGCATTCGACCATTTTGACGATCTTGAAGGATAAAGATAGAGTGAAAGAGGCAGTGAAAGCATCGACAGGATTTAAAGCCATAATAACTAGGCAGCGGAAAGGCCTCATTCATGAAATGGAGAAATTACTGGCAATCTGGTTTGACGACCAGATACAAAAAAGAACGCCGATGAGCCTTTTAATAATTCAAGTCAAGGCACGCAGTATCTTTGAGACTTTGAAGGCGCGCGAAGGTGAAGAATCGACGGAAACATTTACGGCAAGCCATGGATGGTTTCAACAGTTTCGTCGGAGATTCAACGTGCATAATCGGAGTATCAGTGGTGAGGCGGCAAGCGCGGACGTAGAAGCAGCGGAAAAATTTGTTGACAAATTTGATGAAATCATCGAGAAAGGCGGCTACCGTCCGGAACAGATTTTCAATGTGGATGAAACCGGACTTTTTTGGAAGAAAATGCCTGAAAGGTCCTACATACACAAAGAA